GCCTTGAAGTTTCTAAGTACTGTGAGGCAGACTCTGGGCTTTGACCTCAGCTGAGACTCATAGTCCTTATTATAGTATTAGTTAGCCAGCTGTATTCCAAGGATTATATCCATTCTGTGACACCAGGGACCTTGTAGGTTTTTCTTCATTCTAATTTGTGTGGCTTCAAAACAAGGGGGAAAAATTAATTACTTAGTTCGTGTATGAGTTCTATCTTCGGGGCTGATGGTGGCTCATTAGATCACAGGAATGGGGATTACATTTATGCCAACACCTCATGAAGTCCGTCCTTTCATTGGACGCTGGCAGAGAGCTGGTTCTGAGACAATAAATGCACCAGGATGATGCTGGATTTTAGTAAAAAAGCTGTATTGCTTGGGGACAACTGTGACTGGCCCAGATGGAGCGGAACACTGCGTTGGGTAGGGAATCAGCACAGACAGCAGACCATGGATGATATCCTCTGTGACTCTGTCCTGCACTGCAAGACACAATGTCACTGGAATAACCCCAGGGAGGAATGTGTCCTATATAGCATCTGTTGAAGTCCCTAGGTAATTTACAGCCATAGCCATTTGTACTATTATTTACTCAGGTTATTGATCTTTTAAGTTCAGTAGCTGTATCTGGCCATGACAGACATAAGCGTCTTCATAGGCAGACAAGATAATGTAATGAAAACCATAATACCAGCAGACAGTGGCAAAATAATGTGGGGAAAGGTGAGGGGGAGGGAGGGGTGATTTTAGTTCTTTGTCTTCCAATAATCACTGCACAGCTTGTCATCTGATTTCTTTTACCTAATCTCAGCATGCATCTCAAAAATGCTACTGGCCATCAGACTATCCCAGCAGATCATTAAATTTTCCTATCCTCCAGACTTAGGTATGCTGTGGAACTATCCAAGGATAATGAGCATCCTGCTGTTGCACTCACCTGTTTGGGGTCGATGTGTCTTATGAAAGCTCCCCACATATTCTCTTTAATGAATGAATCCTTTCTATTTATAGGGGAATATTCTAAAGGGAAAAGGAATAATATGACCTTCAGGGGGGTTTTATGTGACCTTTGGTTTTTTTGATGAGAAACATATTCTTCAGACAAATTCCTAGTTATCAGCAGGAACATGTGAACAGCAATATGTGATCCAAAAGCCATGTACAATTAAGTTCTTTTATATGTAATGTTATTCTCCTTCCAAGAATGCTATAAAGTTGAGGTCAAAGATAAAGCTTGCAGCTGCAATTACCCAAACAGCTGGATTGATTGAACTCATGGGCTAAACCATTACTGCTTCTAGTGGCAAACTCAACATGGGTTATAGCAGCACTAATGCTGTTTACTGACTCTAGGAAAGAAAACAAGTTTATCTGATCGCAGATAAAGTTACCTCCCCAGATAAACATTTAAATATAAAAGCTGTCTCCTTCAAAAATGCATACTCTTACTTCCCTGGTGGCAGCTCTTCCTTATGTATTAGTGTCCTTCCATTGCTCTCCTATCCATATTCTCTCATCTAATTCCCACAAATGGTTCCTTCTGCTCAAATAACCAGGCTCCAGACTGGTAGAATAGACTTGGGTAGTACACTGGGGCTGAAAACTTAAATGCTCAGTTTCAGAAATTTGTGGCTTGCATTGTAAAGGACCAGCTACTGATGTAATGCTGCTTATCTTCCTCTTCCTATCACACAGATCATGTACTGTGATTGTCCTGAGCAGCATTAACACTGGTACTCAGCTGCCATCGGGGGTGGGGAGAGAGCCCACGTTAGGCTTTCTCACCCAGAACTAATGCAGCTATTTCAATACAGTCCCAGATGACCTAATCACGATTTGCACTGACTATGAAATTATAAAGGTGCTCAGATAACCACTGTGACTGCAGATTTTGAATGGGTGCCAAACATTACGATATTTCTCCTCCCTCCACATGAATGAAATTAGGTAGTGGCATGTTCCCCTTGTTTAAGAAACACTGAGTGAACATCGAGTGACTGGCAAAAGGCTGTAAATTAAATTTGCCAAAGTAGACACAGGAACTGAAGGGAAAGATCTCAGGGTCTTCACTGTTAAGGTCAGCTTTGCCTTCATGGAGGAGGAGAAAATGTGCTACAGTGAATGTGAGAGTTAGAAGGGATTTACTGCTGAGTTATAAAGGACTAATAACTACACATGTAATAAAGCCTCCACTCATTGGCAAGGCTTTGCCTTCTTCAGTGGCCTCCTTCAGTGGCAACCATCACCATAATATTAAGTCCAGATACACTAAAACTAAATCAACAACTGAGTTTTCCCAAAATCCATGGTACTCAGATCTGTGGTTGATGATGAGCCACAGTTTTTGTCTGAACAGCTTTAATAGTAATTAATAAATTTACTCTAATAAAAATCTTGCTGGCGAAAAGCCCTTAAATATGACATTATTTACATAATTTCCTGCAACAAACAGCTGCATAGCCCTCCACTCTGGTCGTAACTTCTCAATTGTAGTACTCCTGCACCCAAACATTCACAAATCTTAAAGCACCTGCCTGGCATTTGTGATACAAAGGAGATTATGGAAGGGGTCTGTTTCACAAGGGTGATTTGAAAACCGATGGTATAACTGGGGTCCAGATCCTGCCATCAGATCCATACTGGTGACCACTGGAATGCATTGCAGAATGGGGCTCATATTTACTGATAGCTTTTAATTAGTCTGCATAATTCATTTCCACATCTGTTTTCCTATAAACACACCACTAATTAGTTCAGTGAGTCAGTCAAAAAGTGTACCAATGTGCCAGATACTTTAAAGAGACACTGAAAATATTTGAAACACAGTCCATTTAATTTTAATTATTTTTTTAAAAGGAAAGCATGAAACACCCCTACCCATTTTTAATCTCCTTCTTCTGAATTCCTCTGATTATTTCAGAATACATCGTTGCAAAATTGTGTGTCAAAGATGTGTGTCTCTAGAGAAAATCCACTCTGTCTTAAGATTTCTGATATATTCTACTGCTTAGTTTTACTGAAGTGGTAGCTCTGCTAGAACTTCTAAAGCTTGATCACTCACCTGAAAAGTCAAGTTAATAGCAGAATTTTCTCAGTACTCCAGCCTCCTGACCTAATACAGGTTTTAGTTTCTGGGCCAGTCTCGTATGTGATTGGTATGGAGAAGATGAGAGGTTTTTGACTAGGATCAGAAAATGTGAATTGTCTCTCCATCCACTGAGGGAAATGAGCAGATTTCCCTACCTTCAAAAATAGGCCTGCACAGACACAGTGTTGTGTGTGCCCTTATACAAACCTCTCTTGGCTGATTAGTTCAATACCTTGATCAGGACCTGTGTAAGGGAAAGCAGACACATCATGTAGATGTGTTATCCTTGGACTGACTGCCACTCCTGGTTTCCAGAATCTCACTGTGCTCAGACATAGGTGTAGAGCTATGCATCAGGTCTTTGCATGAGCAAAGATGAAACCATAGTGTGTGTAGATGTGTTTGAAGTAAAAAATTAAACACTCGTAGAGTTCATTAGGCTTTTAAGTTCCCCTAAGTCTTAGTTTTGTCTGACTAAATCTTTTATTGACTCCAGCTGAAAGCCTCGGTGTTAGGCAGCTATCCTTCCTGTTTAACCTTGTGTCACTTGTAACAACAGAAAGTGAAATAATTAGGTCAATTTTTGAATTGGACTTTTGTTTTCCAATCTGACTACTCGTTTGCAGCTAAGATGTCCCCCTGACACCTCTCTGGTACAGTTAGTGCCTAACAGCTAAGCACGGTGACTTTACTCCACCCTCCTTACTTTCTAAAATGAGGCTTACACCATGACGGCAATTTAAACTTCTGCTGTCCATTGTCAAGTCAGGATGGCTTTAGTGAACAGTTTGTTTCTTCTGATTATTCCTTGCCACTGTGAGGGATTATGGCTGAGGACCAGCGGCTTTCCCCCCACAAATACTTGATCCAAACACATTCTCCTTGCAGATTACAGCGGAATCGCTAATGCAATTTTGGTCTGACTTTGATGCAGTACTCTATTGATATGGGGTGACGCCGCAGCAAAGCAGCAAGGTTAGACCTCGGCAGTGATTAAGCTAGAGTCCCTGAACGGAGGTGTGCCTCCCCCCGCCCGCACGCCTGCGGAGAGGTGCGGAGCAGCGGGGGGCACAGTGCCGGCTCCGAGCGCTCCGGCCGCCGGCGAGCAGCCAGTCAGGCGTAGGGCAGAATATCTGTTCAGCTCTGGTTTCGTGTACGCCCCTCGGGAAGATAATCCCATTCAGCTGCTGAGCAATCAGGTAATCAATCAGTCAATCACTCACGAAATCTGGTTTTGGCAAGCATCACCCTCGCCAGCCGGGAGGCGGTTGCAGACCAGGGAGCTGCGGGTCTGGTCCGCTACCTCGGGGTCCACCTTCCTCTTTGGGCCGAGGGCACTGACGAGAGCTCCCTGCGACTCTGCTGGGACCACCTCCGCTCGCCTTCCAGGAGGGCTAGGCAGGGAGGCTCCGAACCAGCCGCGACAAGAGAGCGGATCGAGCATCAGTCCGAGCTCATCCCCGCTCCCTGAGCGTAATGCTGAGCCTCGGGAGCGGGGCTGGGTCCCTTCGGGCTATGTCGGCACTGTATGTGCCAGGATATACATGTATATTTTATGTATGTGCATAGAACATGCTTTCACAAGCAAACAAACATCTGATCCGGGTGATCTTTAAAATGTTCCAGTCGCAGTGGTACCCAAAGGAGTGGTAAAAGGAAAAATAAAAATAAAAATTAAAAAAAAAAAAAAAAAAAAAAAAAAGAGAGATTTAATTTTTTTTTTTTTTTCCCCAGGCATCTGACTTACTCCGTGACTCTGATGCTTATCAACAACGCGTGAAGATTGCAGTAAGGATCCTCCCTGGAAGGCGAGGAGGAGTGACTTCCAGGGGGCTGGGAGGAGGTGGAGTGCAGCGCCGCTCTCGCCTATAAGGAGGTGCCCAGCGCTCGGCTGTCGCTTCCCACCCAGCCGCCGCTCGCAAGGTGAATCGCCGCGGCGGCAGCCGGGGCAGCGGGCTCGGCTCGGGCGCTGCCGCCCGCGTCCGGAGTGGCTCCTCCAAGGGCCGTGGAGGAGGATCCCTCGGCCGCCCCCGGCTTCCCTTCACCCGGAGTGCTTGGATGCTGTATGGAGTAAATGAGCGGAGGGAGCGAGAGAGCACAGAGGCTGAGAGGCGCTCGGAGATCGGGACCAGGGGAGACAGGCGAGCGGCTAGCTTCCCCCTGCGGGGCTGAACATGGATTCCCGAGCCCTCGGGGGCTTCACTTTGCTGCTCTTCAGTTTATGGCATCTGGGATTAACTGCAATAAATTGTGAGTAGTGGGAATGCAAGGAGTTGCTTGAGGTTGGAGCGGGGAGGAGGAGGAAGGGATGGGGAAAACTCTCTGGAAAAGGGGATTATTGCACCATGACCTCTAAGAAACTTAGCTCGTCTCCGCTTTGCTAATGGAGCTCAGAAATGCAAAGTTGGTGCCAGACGGAAAGATTGCTCTCCACCGTCCTGCCAGTGCGGACGTGGGAGGAACCGGGAGCTACCGGAGCCTGCGAGGAGCCGCTCGCGGGTTTTCCCGCGCGGTTTGCTGTCCTTCCACTGGACTATCTTTTTGCGGTCAGTGTGGTCACTTCTCCCGCTACCTCGGCCACGGGCCACTGTCCGGGACGGAGCAGGGGCAGGAGTCGCACCTGTGCCTGGAGAGGAGGGTCGGTCCTTCTCTTAAGGCCTGTGATTTCGTGGGCGCAGCCTGGCAGAGCAGCGCCCGTGGCACCGATCGTCTTCCCCCTAGCCCCGCGGTGCCGTCGGTTCTCCCAGGCGCTTCCCACGGGCGCGGCTGGGTCCCGAGGCGTACCCCAGCATATTTTGCGTTGTAAATCGCCTTTCACTCCCTCTTCCTCAGGAGAGCCCCTCTTAAGTTTGCCCACGTATCTCTGCCGGCCCTGCGGGGGTCGCTCCCTTCAGGCAGGAGCATCCCTCGCCGCCGGGCTTTGCGGTGCCGCGGCGGCTCTACGGGCGCTTGGGTGAGCGCGGTGTACTCGGGTACACCTGTGGTGCTGGCGTCTCCTGGAGCCCAGAGGAGAAGGAGGGGATGCTCTGTGACCTGCGCTCCCGGGGATGCGCGGGGGGGAATACCTCCGGGGGTGGGAGGGGGCTCCCGGAGCGGGGCTCCCGCTTGGCCGCGGCCCGTCGGGCGGAGCGGGGCGGGGACCCCGGCGGGGCACGGCGGGCGCGAGAGGGCGCTGTTGCCCCGCCGGCCGAGCGGGGCCGCCCCGTCCTGGAGGCACCGGCCCGGGGTAAGCCCCGCGGGCACCCCCGGCTTCCCATCCATCCTTCCATCCCCTCCCCTGGCACCCCCAACTCTGACTGGCTTCGGGGCTTCTGGCATTTTTTTGGTTTTCTTTTTTATCTATCTTTCTTTTTTTTTTTTTTTTTTTTTTTTTCCCCTTCCCTTCCTCCCTCGTCTTTTTAAAATTCTCAGTCAATTAAATTATGGTTAATATGTTTTAATAACGTTCTCGAATACTAAGCGGCAGGCGATTTAAGGTTGAGGCTTGCTGCTCATTACTGATGCGGCCATAAAGTTAATTCCTAACACTTAAAAAGAAAGTCCACATTAATGAGTTTTACTATTTCACTGGTGACAGTTTAATTTCCCACTGCCAATAAACATTTCCCTTGAATACACACTGCTTCCTAAATGTTTAGGAGTCAATCTTTTTAAAGCATGATGATCAATGTTTTTATTATACTGTACAGATTTTACTTATTCATTGAGCAATGAATTAGCATGGAATCAGCTGTAAGTGCTTTCCCAGGAGCCGAGTGAAGGAGCCTGTGAATCTGTAATAGCTGCAAGTTCCCTAGAAACCTCGTTAGATTCGCATGTGAAGATCTCTGTGTGCTTTCATGGACCTCAATAATTGCATTCAGTATGAAAATTCATCACCTTCTTAAATAAATCATCTCCGTATGGTGGAGCTTAGGGAAGCTGTGCTCTCTTTCTCAGTTTGGGGCCAAGAAAGCTTATATATGGGCTAAAATATTAAAGCAGTATCCTGAAGTATATTTTAATAGCTGCATGAAAATGCATTTGCTTTAAAGGGTTACTGAGCTCCCAGGTACCCACTAAACTTTCCAAAAGAAATAACAGAATTCCATAAATGGGGAGATTCAGCGCAGGCCACTGTCAGGAGCTTCTATCTGAAAGCCAAAATGCAAAGGGAAAAGGATTGCTTCTGCACTTTGGCCAAAGGAGTTTTGTTTGGATGCTAATACTGGTATGTTCACAGTGGCTTCAACAGGTTTGTTTCTGACAGATTTTGTGAACAAGAAGAGAACTAGAGACAGAATTGACAATGGAAAGGGAACTATGCAACTTACTTAGTTTTCTTCCTAATATCTAGCATGGCAATAATCTAATTAGGTTTTTTCCTTGCATCTAAATTAGACAACTCTTAAAAATTATTTTTCTATCACTTATTTACTTTCTCTAAAATAAAAATACTGAGTAAGTCAAAATCTTCCCCACCACTGAGATATTTTATTCCAATTTCCTCTTTGGTAATAGTTTTTAATTAAAGAAAGAATTTCTAAGGAAACTGCTTTGAAATACAGCTACAGGCTAGGGGTCAGTAGACATCATTAGAAAGATCAAAATTACCAAATGCTAATAAAACATAAGAAATTCCTCCCACTTCATTTTTTGTAATATTTTATTAAATTATGTAAATAGAGGATCAATAGGATTTCTCCCCGGGATACTAATTACTAGAAAATTAATAAATAGCCATGTATGTAACACTGGAAATGTGTTGCATGAGACATCTGGGGGAACTGAAACTTCCACATTTATTAGGTGGACTAGGAGACACAAAGCCTTGCCTGCTATGTGACAAATTAGTTGCCCTTTAGCAGCATACTCTGTGATCTGGAAACATTAGTAGCTTTGGTAAGTCTAGATATACAGTTGTTGTGTGCCTTTTTTCTCCTTTTTAAAGTTGGAAGGAGGGAGCCGTAGTAAAAAAATGAAAAGAGGCATGAACTCATGTTTTTCTCAACCACTTTGCTATATCAGTTCAGGGCTAGTCTGCAGCTGCAGAAAAAAATTGCAGGAGTCATTAGTGATCTTCCACCTGATTTGGCATTGCATCTCTTTAAAATTTTACCTATTGCTATTTTACACCTTATGCCTCTCTCCCCCTTACTTATATATTTTTTGACTGATTTTTCACATGTGGCTAGGAACATGTAGCAGATTAAAACACCTCCTGGTGAAGTGGCACCTTCTAACTCTCACTGCAAAAGTTATTCTCAGAAATTATTGCATGTTCCAGAACCCAGCCTCTCTTCCTCCCAAAGAATCACTAGCATTTATTATCTCATGTCGCTAGCACTTTTTAGCTGATCCTGAGGCTTTCACCTGTTTTACTGACAATCATAATTGTCAGACAAAGCTGCAGAAATTGAGTGTATGGTAGAATCAGATCTCCTATTGAAGTCCTTACTGAAATATACGGTCAATGTGCAGTCCACTACTCTGCAGTAGATTTAGATGAGGCTTTACAGGACACATCTATCTTTAATATCTCTATTATTAGGTAGGCAGTGTGTGTCTTTATTTTCATTTATTCTGAAATAGAAAAAAGACCTGAAGAAATCATACATTTTCTTGGACAAGGAAACTTTTTCTTAGGCAACAAGGGTGTTCACACTGATTTTAGCCTTCCTTTGCAGGGATAGTAATTGTACCGGAGTCAGACAAGTGTAAGTGAAAACTTACAGGAGAAAATTTGACTCTGGATACTTGAGGCTATCAGGGTAAGGAAATGTATTTGGGATTTGTAACAGCACAAATGAGACCTGTCAGGTCAACTGTGGTAAAGGTATGAGGTCTCTTAAACAGTGACCTTTCTATCTATGTGGTCAGAAATGCTATGTTTTAAAGAGATCTGCTGAAATAGGTAGAATATTGATCATCTGATCTCAATTTGTGGCTCATAAGCTTTCAGACTAAATAAAGAGGATCTGACACACATTTCTGGCTTTTCCTCTGTCTGCAGGACTTAAACATCACAGAATATGCCAAGCTAGAAGGGACCCACAAGGGTCCCTGAAGTCCAACTCCTAACCCTAGACTATCCCCAAGAGTCACACCATGTACCTGATAGGATTGCCCAAATAATTCCTGAACTCTGTCAGGCTTGGTGCTGTGACCGCTTCCCTGGGGAGCCTGTTCCAGTGCCCAACCACCCTCTGGGTAAAAAACTTTCTCTAATATCCAACCTAAACCTCTGCTGGCACAACTTCAGGCCAGTCCCTCAGGTCCTGTCACTGATCACCCCAGAGAACCTATCAGTGCCTTTCCCTTCTCTTCCCCTCATGAGTAGTTGTAACTGCAATGAGGTCTCCCCTCAGTCTCCCCCAGGTTGGACAGACCAAGTGACCTCAGCTGCTCCTCATACAGCCTCCCCTCAAGGCCCTTCACCATCAAATATTCTTTACAAGGGAATAGTATTCAGGCATACTTTCCTCCTATTAGTTTCATACTGGGAGAAAAACAAATATACAAATGTTACTTTTTCATGCCTTCAGATGCATCAATGAAGAAATGGTACAAAATAATGAAATTTCCTGAGAAAGGCTCTGAATGACCCACTGCTGATCAGAGCCTTTCTTGTATGCCTGTCACTATCCAGCTTTCAATCAGTTTGACTCAACTAGCACTCCTTGGCTTTGAATCAGTCTTTCCAAGGACTAAAATGGTCTTTGGATTCTGTATGGACTAGGCAGATGGCATCACCAGCCCGCAGGAATCTATCCAGGGTTATTATCTCAGTATCAAATACATTGTCTGCTTGGACATTTTTCTTTTCTTTTTTTCTCTTAATGTCACGCAAATGAAGCAAGTTTTTCCTCATAAATTAACAGCAAGAACAAATTGTTTTCAAATGTGCTTGGTACATTTGTACAAAGTATAGACTTCGAGTGGAAAATATGGTGGCTGAGTAGAACAACATACTTGTGAACCTCTCCCAGCACGTGGCATGTGCAGACTTTTGTCACTTCTACACTCCAGACAGTGTAGAACAGGTGATGGTTTTTTAATCACTGTCATCATTCTTTTACCAATAGGAAACTGAGGCAGTGTATATAAGCAAGAGATAAACATACAATCAATGTGAGAATCCAAGAATCTAAAATCCTTAGGTGTCAGTTGAGTGGGTCCCATAGGGTGTGGTCATGTCCTATTCTCTGTTGTTAGTTCATATTCATATTTGCCCTGCTATATGTAGTAGTTTCTAAATCCATAGATTACTC